GCTTCGATTTCCACTTGACTGTCTGCTGGGATCAGTTCGGGCGGGATCTCGTAGCGCTAATACCGGGCGCACGAACACGCAATACATGCATCAGTGTCCTTTCCGGGTGCTAGAGGCGAGGCTCTGAGCGTGACTCGCCTTGTGGATCGGGATACCACTGTTCACGATGGCGTCGTGCTTGAGGTTCGACATGGACTAGTGTGCGATCCCCCAATGATGAAAAGGCGTCAACCGATCGCGCACGGCCTCACAAATAACAAGAGCATGAATACTCACGATCATGTTGTCTATCTTGGTGATGCCAAGCCAGTGCAAAATGTCTGGCGTGCCGAGAGACTGGAATCGCATGTCTAGACGCAAAGAAGAGTATGCCCGAGAGTCAGCTTGCTCTTGCGTAGACGTTTCGAGCATCGGTGCAACAGCCCTGCAACAGCCCAGCACTGACCTTCGACACCAGCAATGACCTCGGTGCGCTTGAAATAATTGTGGGCAGAATCAATGCCGCGCTTACGCGCATTGTAGACCAGGTACTTTGTCACTTCGCCCAGCGCTCTTCCTTCTTTGCGGAAGTCTGAGAGTGGGCCGCGGGGGGAGCAGAAAGGGTGCAAGAGTGAGGTGGATCCGGAAGGTGCAGCTGCTAGACGCAGCAACCCGCAAGAAACGCATGACGCACATACGATTACGCCACTGCCTCCTCTCTGCGCACACTTGATGGCTTCTTCGATACCGTACTGTAAAGTTTGGGCGGTAGAGCGAGACACAGACTCTGGTCAGCTAAGCAGAGGCAAGAGCGTCGCGCCCATATTTGCTCACAATCAAGTACGGTCGACCTGGCGTGGGAACGAATCAGCCTGGTGAGCACCGCTTGCGTGCAGCAATCATATGATCTCACTCACACGTGCAAATATCCGAGCCAAAAACATCCGAGCCGTTGCACTCGTCGTGAACGCGCACAGTGACCTCTTTGGTAGGATCGCGCATGTACTCTGGCTGGGAGCAAAGCTCAAGGTGGGGTAAGGGCAGTGTCCTAGCAGTCCATGCCAGGATTGCTACACTCACGGGGCCAAAGATGTAGACTGTGAGACCGCTAATAGGCGGCAAGAAGAGCGAGAGGTCTGATCGAGTGAGGAGCTGGTGCGAAGAGTCAGGAGCGAAATCGTCAGAATACGAGCCAGAGTGGACATGGTATGCATGATTGGCGTTCAAACCCACCTCGGGATACATTCCACCGGTGTCCTCAAACAGCGCGCGTCGAAGCAGCCCCTCAGGCACTCCGAGCCTCTCCGCCACACCCGGCAAGCTAAATTTCAGCACTACGAGTCAGCGACAGCTGGGACACGAGCAACATTGCTTTTTCGGCGACTTTTGCCTCTACTCACAACCACACGGGCTCAACTGCAGCCTTGCTGCAGTTAATTTCCACACCAGGGTTGGATCCGGGTTCGGTCCCGGGTAATCTGTCGCTGGTCACGACGATCTTGCCGTCCAGAGGTACCCGACCAGCGAGAACAGCAGCGTCCAGCTCTGCCATCTTTATGTGCGCTCGAGTGAGTGAACTTGTAGGTCTGACGTCAATGCCCGCATCAAAATGGGATTTGAAGCTGCGAGAAGCCGATTAGGCAAGCCGTGAGTCATGGACCGGGCACGCAAGTCTGATTTACTCGGGCAACTGACAGAGTGGGCGCCAAGTGCCCGAATGGATCCAGCGTGACGATCTTTTTGGGATCGAACCAGGCAGGGTTGGGCGGAATATCAAACGGTCTGTGTGAGAGGAAGAAAATTTCAGAAGAGCGGGATTGTCTTATCGCTGCTAGCCAGGCATGCGGCTCTTACGGTTGTGTGTCTGTGTAGTTTGGTCGATGGTTCGGATTCAGCTTGCCTTGGCTGGAAGTGGCACGAACGCATCAGCTGTTCAGCTGCTCCACGACGTTGAATACCCTGTACCCACGCAATGGCCAATGCTCTATAGACCGAGTAGAATCCTCCATATGCGCCAATAGCATTTCTGACTTTTATCCTGTTCCCCCGACGCCCGACGCCCGACAAGATTAGAAATTGGTTGAGCTCTTTGACGTGAGCCCATGCACTTTGCTGCCAAATCCGACTCACGAATTGGGATGACGGCTCGCTACGATGACGCCACGCTGTTGCGGATCTTGAGCGCCCCAAACCAGGGGCAAAGGTTTGATACCGCTCTGACCGGGGTAGGTGGAGAGGATAACTGTATGCGTCGAGAGAACCGAAAACGCGAGGTCAGCCATCATGGCGTCTCTGTAAATTTCTGTCGAGATCTCTCCCGACGAAGCAAGGCGACCCCGTAAGCGCCATTGAACGCTCACTCACCTCTATCGGAGTAGTAGCCTTCGGTTGGGTTCTTTTTGAGTGCAGAACTGCCAATCTCGTGGCTGCTGGCTACAGGCGCAGCAGGAACAGGAACGGGAACAGCAGGTGGTCCGAGAGGCTGAGCAGGTGGAGAGCTACCTAGCAAGGCCGCAGAGTCCCTGGCATTTGCTGGCACAGCATTCGAAGCGGCTGACCCGATAGCTCGGTGCAAAGGAGATAATCCACCACCTGACAAACGTCGTGTATGCGCCGCAAAGGAAGACGGAGAAGCGACGTTGGACAAGGTTGCTGCACCGTGCAGTGCGTCCACCTGAGTGCAAATACAGCGATGCTCTCCGTCATGTTAGTGCGCGGCCCACTGACACGACGTTGGCTGTCGGAGCAAAATGTCCCAACTCACCTTGGCTTCCAACTCCTTGTTGCGCTCCTTGATCTCCCTCAGCTCTCGCAGAATCTCACCGAGAACTGCGGAGTCGGCAGGCACCCCTGACACTGCAGACATGTTAAGCTATGCTGTCAAGCAACGCTTGTTGCGTCTGTGTGCCCTCCAAGCTGGCCAGTCAGAGACTCTCTTGAGCTGGCAGGATGCAGGACGAGAAGGAGAGCTGTCGCGTCTGTCGTTCGATGGCTTTGAAGTGCTGAACAAGGTGGCGACTCGCGCGCGTGGCTCTCCGATGGATGTGGTGTGCTGGATGTAGGCAGAGAAAGCATTAGACACTGGAACGAATGACCGCTATCAAGGGAGTCAATCAAGTCTCCAGATGTCGTGTGTACGCCCTAGCGCTGCTCATCCTTCAGAGCGAGATAAGCCCAGCAGGCGGCATGCATGCATGCA